GGTGTGTTATTGTTCAGTATAGACCAACTGTCTTGTGAGCCGGTGTGTTATTGTTCAGTATAGACCAACTGTCTTGTGAGCCGGTGTGTTATTGTTCAGTATAGACCAACTGTCTTGTGAGCCGGTGTGTTATTGTTCAGTATAGACCAACTGTCTTGTGAGCCGGTGTGTTATTGTTCAGTATAGACCAACTGTCTTGTGAGCCGGTGTGTTATTGTTCAGTATAGACCAACTGTCTTGTGAGCCGGTGTGTTATTGTTCAATATAGACCAACCGTCTTGTGAGCCGGTGTGTTATTGTTCAGTATAGACCAACTGTCGTGTGAGCCGGTGTGTTATTGTTCAGTATAGACCAACTGTCTTGTGAGCCGGTGTGTTATTGTTCAGTATAGACCAACCGTCTGGTGAGCCGATGTGTTATTGTTCAGTATAGACCAACCGTCTTGTGAGCCGGTATGTTATGGTTCAGTATAGACCAACTGTCGTGTGAGCCGGTGTGTTATTGTTCAGTATAGACCAACTGTCTTGTGAGCCGGTGTGTTATTGTTCAGTATAGACCAACTGTCTTGTGAGCCGGTGTGTTATTGTTCAGTATAGACCAAATGTCTTGTGAGCCGGTGTGTTATTGTTCAGTATAGACCAACCGTCTGGTGAGCCGGTGTGTTAATGTTCAGTATAGACCAACCGTCTTGTGAGCCGGTATGTTATTGTTCAGTATAGACCAACTGTCGTGTGAGCCGGTGTGTTATTGTTCAGTATAGACCAACTGTCTTGTGAGCCGGTGTGTTATTGTTCAGTATAGACCAACTGTCTTGTGAGCCGGTGTGTTATTGTTCAGTATATACCAACTGTCTTGTGAGCCGGTGTGTTATTGTTCAGTATAGACCAACTGTCTTGTGAGCCGGTGTGTTATTGTTCAGTATAGACCAACTTTTTTGTGAGCCGGTGTGTTATTTATTGTTCAGTATAGACCAACTGTCTTGTGAGCCGGTGTATTATTGTTCAGTATAGAAAAACTGTCTTGTGAGCCGGTGTGTTATTTATTGTTCAGTATAGACCAACTGTCTTGTGAGCCGGTGTGTTATTTATTGTTCAGTATAGACCAACTGTCTTGTGTGCCGCTGTGTTATTGTTCAGTATAGACCAACTGTCGTGTGAGCCTGTGTGTTATTGTTCAGTACAGACCAACTGTCTTGTGAGCCGGTGTGTTATTGTTCAGTATGGACCAACTGTCTTGTGAGCCGGTGTGTTATTGTTCAGTATAGACCAACCGTCTTGTGAGCCGGTGTGTTATTGTTCAGTATAGACCAACCGTCTTGTGAGCCGGTGTGTTATTGTTCAGTATAGACCAACTGTCTTGTGAGCCGGTGTGTTATTGTTCAGTATAGACCAACCGTCTTGTGAGCCGGTGTGTTATTGTTCAGTATAGACCAACCATCTTGTGAGCCCGTGTGTTATTGCCTAGTATAGACCAACTGTCTTGTGAGCCGGTGTGTTATTGTTCAGTATAGACCAACCGTCTTGTGAGCCCGTGTGTTATTGTTAAGTATAGACCAACCGTCTTGTGAGCCTGTGTGTTATTGTTCAGTATAGACCAACTGTCTTGTGAGCCGGTGTGTTATTGTTCAGTATAGACTAACTGTCTTGTGAGCCGGTGTGTTATTGTTCAGTACAGACCAACTGTCTTGTGAGCCGGTGTGTTATTGTTCAGTACAGACCAACTGTCTTGTGAGCCGGTATGTTATTATTCAGTATAGACCAACTGTCTTGTGAGCCGGTGTGTTATTGTTCAGTACAGACCAAATGTCTTGTGAGCCCGTGTGTTATTGTTCAGTATAGTCCAACTTTCAGACTCTGATTATTGAAGTCTGCCCACACCAGTTCTGAATCGTGAATATCGCCAGATTACATCTGTATTGTAGACTGTATATACAAGAGATAAATATGATCCAGTTAAACTTGTCTCATCGATTCGGCTATTTCAATAGCTTATTTTCTCAATTTCAAATACAGCTCTTTGCTCCAGAAGTAGATGAGCATGATGGGTTGAAGAAAAGGGAAATCGAAAAGTAGTAGTAGCAGCAGCAGCAGTAGTAGTAGTAAAAGTAATAGTAGTTAGTAGTAGTAGAAGAAGTAGTATTAGCAGCAGCAGCAGCAGCAGTCGTAGTAGTAGTAGTAGTAGTAGTAATAGTAGTAGTAGTAGTAGTAGTAGTAGTAGTAGTAGTAGTAGTAGTAGTAGTAGTAGTAGTAGTAGTAGTAGTAGTAGTAGTAGTAGTAGTAGTAAGAATAGCAGGAATAGTAGCAGCAGCAGTAGCCGCAAGTAGTAGCAGCAGCAGCAGCAACAGTAGTAGTAATAGTAAAAGTAGTAGAAGTAGTAGTAGTAGCAGCAACAGCAGCAGTAGTAGTAGCAGTAGTAATAGTAGTAGTAGTAGAAGTAGTAGTAGCAGCAGCAGCATCAGTAGCAGTAGTAGTAGTAGCAGCAGTAGTAGTAGCAGTAGAAGGAGGAGGAGAAGAAGAAGAAGAAGAAGAAGAAGAAGAAGAAGAAGAAGAAGAAGAAGAAGAAGAAGAAGAAGAAGAAGAAGAAGAAGAAGAAGAAGAAGAAGAAGAAGAAGAAGAAGAAGAAGAAGAAGAAGAAGAAGAAGAAGAAGAAGAAGAAGAAGAAGAAGAAGAAGAAGAAGAAAAAGAAGAAGAAGAAGAAACATAACTGTCTATTTTTATGCTGCCTGACTTAAGTGTCGTGGCTTGTTCAAAGATTATAAACTATGAAGAACAAAGTCGTTCACGTACAAACAGGATTTGTAGAGGGAACATCCCATTTATAAAATACACTAACAACCACTATGAATTCTGCAAACAGCGGCGAATCACTTCCCTCCTCGGCCTTGACTCCTGCCCGTTGTCGGGTTCATAATGGTGGGGGGTAACGAATATGTAAATAATAGGTGTTATATTTATTCATTAAAAAAAAAAAAAAAAAGATTCCGTTCAAGAAGTGCGAACTTTTTCAAATACAGGCTGCTGATAAGGCTGAAATAAAAAGTTGTTCCAGGTTTTGTAGCTCAAAAAGAAGAAGAAGAAGAAACTTTCTTTTTCAAGATATGTTAAAGGCATTTGTTTGAAATCATTATCGTGCAGATACTAGTCTGTTGCTAAGCTCTATGACACACATGCTAAGTGTTTCCTGTTTTTTTTTTTAGGAAGGTTTATCTCACTAATGACACCTCGTTGCTATGGGAGTATCGACACTGATGTTTTTAATATACCAAATCATATTTTGTTGCTGTGAAAAACTAGAGCATAAGAGATTGAAACGCTTGTGGAGATTTTCTACAAAATTTCGTGCTTCCGTTTCTTCTTCTTCTTCTGCGTTCATCCGAAGATGTAATTGCGTTGTTTCCGTTTACAGCATGGCTGCGATATTTGCACCTATCGGCAAACACATCCGACTTCTGCGGGCAGTTGTTGACCGGGTTAGCCTTCCCGTTGTGCTTTCGTTTTATTGTGTTTGAAATTATATTTTTTTTTTTTTAAAATTCAATTTATTCTATTCCCAGTGAGTATTGTTTATCCCCAGCGCTAGTGTAAATTGTCACTATTACTGTTATTACTATTTTTTGCCTATATCGTTTTTGTTTGTTGACTTTCTATAGTTAATCGACTGACCACTTGGTGATAACAGGTGATTAGAGTTCTTAACCCTTTGTTACTGATGTGTATGTAGTTCATGTTGAGAAAGGCTCTGGCCGAAACGTTAATTTCTCTTTCGTTAAGCTTTTCAGTCACACTTCATTGGATTATCTTTTGGTATTAGCCTAGCTACAGTCAATCCTGTTCCCACCAAGTCTTTGAAAAGTTTCATGAACATACTTTGATGGGCGACCATAACAATTAGGTTTAAAAATACATCAGAGAAAGAGGAATGTAATGAAAATAAAACGAGGTAATCAATAACCCAGACCCAGTCTACTAATCAGACTCTCGGTACAAAAGGGGGTTGGGTTAGGGCAGTTCTATATGCTGCTCTTTCGTGTGCTATAGGTTCCGGGTTCAATCTCTGGTAAGGGCTGGGATTGTTTCACGTGGTCCTGGGTAGTGTGATCGGACACCCGTGTGCAATGTTGTGCACGTAAAAAAATCCCTTGGCAGTTAGAAATCGAAAAGAACAGCCTAACGGCGCTGCCCGGACCAAATTTTAAGGTAATAATTTACCCACAGTATTTCAGGATCTACAGAGCCTGTGCACTGTGCTGAGCTTCTTCGGACTCAAGAGTTAGAAGAAGAACGAAGCACTTGTGGGTTACTACTTGTGTGCCATGATGCTGATCCGTTGTTCACTTCAAGCCTATGCATCTTCAATGCCCTGCATCCACATTTGAGAAGGTCAACCTCTGCCTGGTTTTCCGGAAACTGTATGCTACATCACCGCTCTCCACAGAACATCTCGGCACTAGACATGTCCAGAACAGCTCAGTTGAAATAGAACTCTTTGTGGTCCGGGTTCACGCCCGCAGGTTGGCAGAAAAGCCACAGTTCTCTCAGATTTACGGTACCTATCATGGAATCAAAGAAGAGGAGAAATGCTAACATCTTGAAAGATCTGAACATCAAGAAAGATTGGCTAATAAACTGCATCCTGTCTCGGAAGCTGAAATATTTTGGTCATATCAAGCGCCACGACAGATTGGAAAAAAATATAGCAGAAGGCATGGTACCAGGAAGGAGGGGCAGGGGCCGACCGACACGAAGATGGGAACAGGATGTAAGTGACTGAAAGTACATGAGGTGGGAGAGCTAGCGAGAGACAGTTTCTTTCAGGCAGACTGAGATGAGAGCAAAGTTCTGCAAAAGGACCTGCTACATGATGATGATGATCATAGAATCAAGGCCGAATGGTTGCGAAATCCATAGTACTGAGCCAAAGGGTTAACAACTCATGGTTTCTGGATATTAAAAAAAAAAAAAAAACGACAGACACACACACACAAAACACGCAACACATACTTGCGGTCACACCGGCAGTGCGACAGTGTGTGGAGCCTGTAGTTGAAGATGCCATACTTCCAGCTCAGCCGGGGAATGACCAGTGGGCAGAGGTCGTGTCGCCGACAGCATGTGTCCAGCTCCGAGTGGTAGCCCATGTCTCGCTTGTGCTCCGATATGTCTCCATCGCCGCACCTGAGAGCGGAGGCGGGGTGTGGGCAAGTATCATCATCATTATCATTATATCATCATCATTATCATTATTAGGTTCATCATTATCATCATCTTCACTATCATCATCATATTATCGTTATCATCATGTTATCATTATCATCCTCATCATCATTATCATAAGCAACATCATTATATTCGTCATCATCATCATTTTCACACTCATCATCATTATCATCATCATTATCACCCCAACCATCGTTATCACACTCATCATCATTATAACCATTATCACCCTCGTCATAATTATTGTCATCATCATTATTATAATTATGATTATGATTATCGTCATCATTATAATAATAATCATTATCTTCTTCATCAATATTCTCCACAAAATTATCATCAACATTTTCATCATAATCATGTTAAGTGTGATAGTCAATAATAATATTCTTATGTATTCGCCCATAAACGGACGGTCGGCACCACTTGTTGCGGCTTACAGCTGGACTGCGATGTCTGGCCAACACATTCTATTCTTATGCAAACCCTTAGTTAGTACCTCTTTACGACTTGCTTGTTAGTACATCCACCCCACCCCCCCCCTCCTCTACCCTAGGGGCACTGGAACCGATACTTGGGGTGTGGCTAAGTAAAATTCGTTCATTCGTTCGTTTGTTCGTTTATTTATTCATTCGTTCGTTCGTTCGTTAGTTCGTTTATTGATTCATTTATTTTTTTGTTCGTTCATTTATTCATTAATTAATTCGTTCGTTCGTTGATTCGTTCGTTCGTTCATTATTTCGTTCGTTCGTTTATTCATTTATTCATTTATTCTTTCGTTCAGTCATACTTTCATTCATTCATTCATTCATTCATTCATTCATTCATTCATTCATTCATTCATTCATTCATTCATTCATTCATTCATTCATTCATTCATTCATTCATTTGTCCATTCATACATTCATTCATTTGTTCGTTCATTCATTTATTCATCGTTCAATAAATCAATAATTGAATAATTCACTCTTTCGTTCGTCTGTTCGTTCACTCACTGCCCTGTTGTACCATTATATACCACACAAGGCTCACAAGCTGTGTCCCCATTCCGTCCTAGACTGAGCAATGACTTCGCTATCATGGATGAGCTCCAGTCCAGCAGCTTTGGCTTCCCTCGTCCACGTTCACCTTCAGGTTTCTTCTGGTCGTCCTCGTCTCCCCAATCCCTCTATTTCCCATTGCAATGCCTGTTGAGTGATTCTCCGTTCGTCTCTTCTTACTTAGAATGTGTCCAATCCAGCGCCATCGTCTCAGTCTTATAATTGTTGATACTAGTGGTTTTAAAGATATTTCGGCTATCTTCCGAATAACGGTCGCAAATTATCGAGGCAGAAAATATACCCTTAAAGGGCCTCAGTCACGTGTCAATTGCGCACTTCTGGCGATTCTCTAACTTTCACTTGGTGACTGCGTAGTCTCGAGGCATAGTGTCTGCCTCGAGGGCTAGAGGTTCCGGGTTTAATCCCCGGTAAGGGTTGAGATTTTTTCACGTGGACTTGGACTTCTTGTAATTCCTCCTGGTCTCTGGGTAGTGAGATCGGACGCCCGTGTGTATTGTTGCGCACATTAAAAAAAAATCCTTTAGCGGTTAGAAATCGAAAAGAGTAAGCAGCCTAACGACGCTGCCCGGACAAATCTGGAGTAAAAAATCTACCTAAAGTAATTTCAGGATCCTCGCCGGTGCTACAGAGCCTGTGCACTGTGCTGAGCTTTTCTGGACTGGGATTTAAGTTAGAAAAAGAACGGAGAACTTATGGGTTACTACCCGTGTGCGATGATGTTGATCCGTTGTTCAAAGTTCAAAGTTCAACTTTCACTAGCATATGTTAAAATTGAAATAAAAGGCAGTACGTGACAGCTTATGATTTATTTGGAGATTCAACCTGGAAGAAAGGGAAGGATCAAGATAGGTCAGGTTGTGCAAAGGGTTAACGCAAATATGCGCTCGAGCGGGTCCGCACACACAGACACAAAATAATCAGTCAGACAACCAGACAGACGATCAGACAGACATATCTCACCACTTAGTCCCAGGAAAGATCATCCAGCCAGTGAGGAGATCCCTCTTGGACCTGCCATGAAAACCGTGGTGCTCCACCACATGTCTCTCTGCTGCATGGGCGTCTCTTTCCCAAACAGCTCTGGCTTCTCTGTGACTTGTACTCAAATTGTTACTCGTGTTGGCTGTCAACTGCAGCAACGATAAATTTGCTGTTTGTTGATGTATGTCTATATCATCATTTCTCCCGATTAGGTGATGTCTGTGTGACCCTTTATGTGGGTCTGTTTGGATGTGCGTTTGTGATTCGTCACTGGTCTTTGAACTGTGTCTGTGCCTTCGTTTATGTCTCTTTAACATAGGGTATTTTTCTAACCTCGGATGTCTGTCTATTCTGTGCTGTCTGTCTGAATAGTGATGTATGTCTGATTTGTTATTTCGGTCTAAATTCTTATGTATATTTGATTTGTTATGTCCATCTAAACTGTGCTGTATGCTTAATTTGCGATGTCGGTCTAACCTGTGATGTCTGCTTGACATGTGGTGTCTGTCTGAATCATGCTGTGCCCCACTCTGGTGATTTCTATTATTCCCATTACGCTTTTGATTAAATATTTGTGACGAGTCCAATTCGTGAAGTCCACCTGTTGTGTGGTGTCTATATGGCACATAAAGTCTGTCTGATTCATTATATTTCCTCAGCTGCAGTTTCTCTAAACCGCCTGTCTCGGTATATATCAATGTTTCACGATTTCTGACGAAATCATTTTGTATACTTGCTACATGATATTTCAGTGTCTGATGAGGCGTCTGTGAATCTACTTCCTGTTTCCTGTATTGGCCAGGTTTTTCGCGATCGTGGCCACTAAAATCTGGCAAAAAACCATGATAATGGCGAAGATGAAGCAATGTATTTACTGATGGAGTATTTACTGATGGTCGATGTCCATTATCTGTTAAACCTGCGGGAGTTACGGTGTTTATCATGTGGAGAGCTCTCACAGCAGCCTCGAGTATCTTTTCACATTCTCGAGTTCTCCTCATTACCTGTAGATGAGTTTTGAACATCTTCGCAAACAGGCTAGTTCCTGTAGTGTTCATTCTAGCCCAAAGTCTGAAATGTGGGAAACTGGCAACTGACTGAAAATCGGTTCTTTCTGAAAACGTATAGCTAAACATGTGAATTTGTCCATGAGTACATCGCGTCTAAAGGAAACTGTTTGATCAGACGTGTTGCTTAACTTCAAGTAAGCATCCATTAATTCTGTTTCAGTGAGTTTGGCGCGATTTCTAGAAACTCGGGAGAACTCAGAAGTGAAAGATGCAATGTCTTGAGGTGAGGCTGAAGTGATGCAGTTGTCTAGGAGACCATCGCGTGCGACACTTCTTAGTAAACGATGACCATCTGTGACGCTAGTGAAAACGATCCGGTGTGTGTGTTCAGCGTATGCCAGCGAGGTCTCCGAGAGTCGACGTTTTCCGTGAGCAAGCTGAAGATTCAGAAGGCCGTTCTTGGTCACTGACAGTATTACGTGACTGCCGGCTGTTTCAAAGGAAGGTAACAGAAGTGGTATGGTCAGGAATGTGTAAGCAACTGTCCTTATGTCTGGATATTTCATACTGTGGAGTGGTAGGTGAAGCCGTAAGTGAGGGTCACTGAGTGAACGTCTGGTATGTTAAAGTCATGGAGCTATGGGGGCCGCTGAGGTCACCCAGTCATTGACCCCTTGGTGGGCACTGGCGGTCGAAGTATTTCGCTCCTTGTTACTGTTGTATAGTTTATGTTTAGAAAGGCGCCGGCCGAAACGTCGATTTGTCTGTTTTGTGCGCGTTTTTCCATGCTACCTCTTTCGTTGAGATTTTTAGTCAGAATTTAATGGATTACTATTTTCAGTGAATAATGGATTTACTGCTGGCGTCGCAGAATCCACGTACACTTAGCCCGGAACGTGGTTGACTGTGTGAAGCGTCCGGTAAATTAGAACCATTGGCCCCCAAAGTTGCAGCAAAGAAACCACAGTCAATGACTTGCGGCTCCACTGCCTGTATCAGAAAATCTCAGTGGCATGAGGTATATTCTACTGCTCGAGAGTTCTGTAGGTTTGTAACCCTGACGTTGTGAGCAAGCAGTAAAAGGATCCCGCAGTTAACCCCCTTATGGCTTCTCGCTTGCGCCACCAAGGCACCGACCGAGTCTGATTCTTTGTGTAATTAAAATAAAGGATAGTTTTCAGTACGCACCCAGACACAAACATGAGACGAAACTGGGTCATAAGCTCAACAAGACCGTACTCCCTCTTCACAGTGAAGGTTTTAGAAACAGCTTGCTTCCTAACATTCTGCAGTTCCAACATGATCCAAGAAGGAAGGCATCCCCAGAACATATGCAGGTCGAAATACAGAGATATCACAGCTTTTTTGGGTAAACCAACACAGTGCAATGAATGCTCTTTTGCAGAATCGACGATGAAACCGCTAGAACAATTATACATCTCAAAATACTGCATAGTTAATTATTAGGGCATGTGTCCAGGCAAATTCAAAAGATGCATCGTTTCCCTGGTTGAAATAAAAATAGTGGAGCTTAAATCGTGGCTTTTTGTGTGTGGGTGTTTTAATGTTTATGTCCCTTTAGCATCTCTTGGCAGATGTTAAGGTAATGAAGGTTAAATATGTACGTTCTCTAGTGATGTCTCTTGGCGGGGATAATGTCAATAAAGATTTCACATGCACGTTCTGTAGTGATATCTCTTGGCGGGTGTGAAAGTCAATAAAGATTCCACATGTCCTTCTCTAGCGATGTCTCTTGGCGGGGATAGGGTCAATAAAGATGTCACATGTGCGTTCTCTAGTGAAGTCTCTTGGCGGGAGTAAGGTCAATAAAGATGTCACATGTACGTTCTCTAGTGAAGTCTCTTGGCGGGAATAGGGTCAATAAAGATTTCATATGTACGTCATTCAATGATGCCTAAGGGCGGGTGTAAGGTCAATGAAGATTTAACAGGTACCTCTCTCCACTGATGTCTCTTGGTGGGTTTAAAGTCAATAAAGATTTAACATCTATGCTGATCAGGACGTATTTAGATGCATGCTCTGCTCTTCTGATCAGGTAGTGACAATTCTCGATGTCTGTTAGATCTTGCCGAATCCTACAGGATGCCCATCATCTGTGAGATATCGTCAGTCGATGCTATGCTTCTTCATGGTAGGCTTTCAATGAGTAATACGCACTGAACATTGTATCGACATAAAATCTTCTACGATGTGCAGTGAATACACATGTACGCTGGCTGTTCAGGTAATCAGTCAACAAATTATTCTCATATGGTTATATCCCCCTGTGTGCCATGAGGCCTCATTTTGGTGACAAAAGAATAGACCAACTGCCCTCCTCACAAGCAAGAAATAAAAGGCCACAAACTAGTACTTTACAGAAATTGGATGTGTATGAAATGGGCAAATATGGCAGCTTCACAGTAAACCAAAACACAGTGTTCAACTGCCCTTTTAAGAATGAAATCAGATAAAGAAGAATCTCGACATATTTTCAGTCGATACTTATTCCTGGTGGATGTCCTGTCTTTGAAACGCACTTCTGCGTGTTTTAAAAATTACGTACTATTAGTGTTGGCCATACCATGGCGTGCAATAGATGAGCATTTGTGTCCGGAGGTTAGTTAGTAAATAAATCACCCTCAGCTGGATAACCTGGATATGTTTTCAGTCGATTCCTGGAAATGTTTTCAGTCGATACTTATACTTACATGATGTTCAGTGATCCACGGACAATGTACGACCACTTTCAAAAATATGCTCTTATAGCGTTGATACTTCTAGAGTATGCAGGAAGTGAATATTCGTGTCGGATGGTTAGTTAAGTTAGTCGACATTTCATCCCCACTTCGACAAACCATTCAGCCCATATGTGCTAGGATCCCCTTTTCAGTATATATCTCTGAACCTAAAGCGGCTGACGGTTTGAGTTCTGAATTCGTTTACTATCATTATTCGGCCTCATATGTAGTCAGCACACCTGGCTCTACTCAGGCTGACGGTCTGTTCTTACAGTCTGGAAAATGTTGTCGATTTACAGCCATCGCGTGATTGATTATATCACCCTGGCTCTCAGAAGACCGTCAGTAAACGTTTAAGTTATGGTGACTGTATGTAAATGCTGAACCATACAATTTAAGGTCTGTTCCGCTGATACTTTTTTGCTTCTGGGGTGGTGATGTCTTTTAAAAAATGTATCCTATTTCAGTGAGCGTTCATGTTGATTGACAGTCAACACTGGATTCATCGTATCGCTCTCGTCTCTGAGGACATCCAGAAATTGAACTTTAATCAGTGGTGTTTCCAAGTTAAATAATCGAACGCAAAAATTTTACAAGACAAACAAAGAAAACCGAACCTAATAAAAGCTTACTTAAAAAAACACACACACATCAGTCTTTAGTGCTTATGGTGTCGAAATGCAAAAAATTATACCAGATAAACCAAGAGACAAACAAACCCGAACCTAATAAAAGCTTAACCCCCCCCCCCCCCCCCTCACACACACACACACACACACACACACCCTCCCCAAAAAATCCGTCTTAAGTGCTTATTGTACCGAAATGCAAAAAATATACCAGACAAACCAACAGACAAACAAGCCCGAACCTAATGAAAGATTATAAAAACCCGCATTTACTGCCTATGGTAGCACACGTTTTGGACGGTTTATAAAGGGATTAGAGCGTTGGGAGGGGTGGGGAGAAAAAAAAAGGGGGGGGGGGAGAGACTTCCTTCACCTAACCTAGAATTCAAACCCGGGTCTCCCGCAAGAAAGCTCTGCGATATAACTACTGGACCAGCTGCTCCTCGTTTTTAGGTGTGAGATCACAGGAGTAAAAAAACTGTTTTCATGACAGTGGCACCATCGGGTGTATGGCGATACTAGAGAATAGATCAATCGTCAGATGCGACCAACCCTATACAGGCCGCCTTTACCTGCCAGGACATTTCTGGGTACCTGTTTTAGTTTGGGCAGGCCCGGCAGACCTGTTTGTGCATGTAGAACCATCTGAGCTTGATAGGCGTTACTTGAGCTGTTTCTTTCCCTGACAAGGAGCGATAGTTTTCCGTTCATCATCGATGGGAGCCCACGGCAGCTTGACGCTTTCCTGTGTATCTGGGGGGCTGCGTGATCTTGAGGCACGGTGTCCGCCTCGAGTGCTAGAGGTTCCGGGTTCAATCCCCGGTAAGGGCTGTGATTTTTTCCACGTGGACTTTGACTTCTAGTAATTGCCTCTGGTCTCTGGGTAGTGTGATCGAACTCCCGTGTGTATTGTTGCGGACGTGCAAAAAATATCTTTGCAGTTGGAAATTTAAAAATAGCCTAACGCCGCTGCCCAGGCAAAAATTTGGAGTTAAAAATCTACCCAAAGTATTTCAGGATCCTCGCTGGTGCTACAGAGCCTTACGCTGTACTGAGAGCTTTTTCGGATTCAGACTCGAGTTAAAGGAAAGAACAGAGCACTTATGGGTTACTAACCGTGTGCCATGATGTTGATCAGTTGTTCAAACCTCAAACTTCATATGTATCTTCCTAACTTTACTAACACCTCCCTTTGAACCAGGGCTACCGATTGGATTTTTATCAAAACCCAAGCTAAGCTGACCAAACAACTGAAGCAATATATAAGCACACAACCCCCCCCCCCCCCCCCCCCCCAAGAATGATAAAAAGTACACATTTTATAGTTACGAAATGAAACATTTACCCACCCAATTCACTCCCACCCTTACCCGTTCGAAAGCCGCCCCAGGCAATAAACTGCCTTTTTAGGGCAGTTTACGATCCCCTCCCTGAAACACAGATGCATAACAGGAAACAGTATCACCTGACAAAGAAAATGGAAAGAAACAAGCGTCTTCATACGCAGCACATAAACGACGCCAAGATAGAGTTGCTGCTAATTCTAGGAGCTGACTGAAATTGGCAAGAATGTTTTTTTTTAACGACATCCATATCCAGGTTCTTTGTCCATATAATGAGAAGAGAGACATTGGAGAACATCGTGACAACTAGAAAGATCAGTGGAAAAAGGAGTAGAGGTAGACCAAGAGAGGTGATGCTGGATGGGCTGAAACGATGGCATGGAACGATATCATCAAGAGAGTTGTTCCGGGCA